GAGAGGGTCCAGAACTTCAGTAAAGTTACCGAGGCTCCACCTTATAGATTCGCCAGATATGGTGTTACTCATAATTGGACGAAACAGAGTATATTTTGGGAGTTGCCTTATTGGAAGGATAATCTTCTCTTACACAACCTTGATGTCATGCATATTGAGAAGAATTATTTTGACAATTTGTTCAACATAGTGATGGATGTTAAAGGTAAAACAAAAGATAACCCGAAGGCTAGAATGGACTTACAAGAATATTGCAGGCAGCCTGAATTATACTTGCAGACAGCAAACTATGGTAAGGTGTCCAAGCCCAAAGCAAGTTACACATTCACTTTGGAGGAAAGACGACAAATTTGTGATTGGGTTACGAAATTAAAGATGCCTAAGGGTTATGCGTCGAATCTCGGAAAAAAAGTAGATATGGAGGTAGGGAAGTTGAGCCATTTGAAAAGCCATGACTGTCATGTTTTCATGGAGACCTTAGTGCCTATTGCATTTTGTGGTTTGCCTGAAAGAATCTGGAAACCCATCACAGAGATTAGTTTGTTTTTTAAAGACTTGTGTTCTACCACATTAAGGGAAGAAAACCTACTTCGGATGGATAAGAACATTCGTGTAACTTCTACTAAGATGGAAAAAATATTTTCATGTGGTTTCTTTGATGTGATGGAACACCTTCCCAATCTATCGCTATAAGTGTGGAATGCAAGGAATAGGGACTTCCTCGCAAGGCAAGCAATTTAATAGGGAGAGCCTCTCCGCTATGCGGGAGACAGTGACAAAGATCACATCCGAGCTAGAAGCGGCCAAGGAAAGAGAAAGGCTTAGAGATGCTCAATTCCTTAGCATGCAAGCTCAGATCAGAACTCTCCTATCTACTGGAGCTTTTCCGTTGCCCCGGTCTCGTGAGTCATCGCCAGAGGGTCAACCTCTACGTGATCGTTCCTCCTGTCCTGCTTGTGATTGTTCCTCCCGTCCTCCCGTGATCGTTCCTCCCGTCCTCCCATGATCGTTCCTCCCGTCCTCTACAAGACCATTCTCTATACCGTCTTGTAAATAAAATTTCATCAGACGGTGATAATGATGTTGAATAAAACACCCCTTGACCTTTATATACTTTGAACTAGACAAACAGAACCAGTTTTGAACTTGTTGTAATTAGTTTTAGCGAGGCGAGGATTAAACCATAGCTTGCGTCGCACGGGCTACAGCGAGATGAAGCTCGTGTTTTGTCTCGCGCCGCGAGGCCTGTAGCGAGGGTGTTCCGCGTTCTAAAGCCCATTTTGTCTCCTTTTTTATTTTGGACTTGGTTATTTCATTTAGACTTTTTCCCTACACATATAAATAGTCATTAAACATCATTTTTAGAGGAGTTTTTGCGACCGGAGGTAAGAACATCACGTGGAACAACTTTTGGAGGAGAAAATCATCGAGTTCTTCATTCCTTTATCTTTTCTTTGTAATTTGTTTATGCAAAATACTTGAAAAATTGTTACTACGAACATGAGTGACTAAGCACTCTAGTTCTAGGGTTGTGGTTGACATGATTATTAACGTTTATTAATTACATCTTCGTTAATTCGGATTATCATCTTGTGGTTGTTTCTTTAATTCTAGTTTTAACTTGTGAATTGTTGTAGCTACCAATTCACCCTACTATATATGCTATGCTTGGGGAAAGTCGTGTTTAGATTAGAGTAGTATTAGAGAGAGCTTGTTTCTGAACCCGTGGCTCGGGGGACGATTTCACGGTTAGGATAGGAATATACCTAACAGTCTTGCTTAATTGAGTACCGTATTATATTCGTTAATAATAGACTTAATACCATAGGAATATAGGATTGATATATTATGGGCAGGCGAGTAGTATTGTGGGAACATGCTATTCATATAAACCAGTGTTATTCAACCATAGATAATCTGGATTAAAGAGTGTTTCCTAAATTGTTACACGTTTGGTTTCTTACAAAGGCAAGGATTTCAGGTAAAATTTGTTGAATATACTTGGGCTTCACGTACTTCCCTAAAATCGAACTCATTGCCGTTGATCATAATCAACTTTTTGTTCTATAAATACAAAGTATCTAAACTCCTAAGTCATATATATAGCCCTATTTTATCACTCAAAACTCTCTAGTCTCGGCCGCTGCGTTTTTGTCATCTTCATATTCAAGAAACAATAATGAATATGATGGAGTTAGATAATCTTGGAGAAGGGTATCGATTTCGACCGACGGATTCAGAGTTAGTGAAATTTCTTTTGAGGTTTGTTGCTAAGCAAGAATTGCATGACAATGGTTTTATTGCAATGTATGATGTTTACAAACAAGAACCTTGGGTAACTTACAGCCATGGCCATTCTACTGGAGGAGTAGAAGATAATTGGGACACAAGTATTTACCGTTACTTTATTACACCAAGGAAGAAGAACAAGGGAAGGTTTAGTAGGATTGTAGGAAAAAGAGGTGGAACTTGGAAACAACAAGATAAGGGAAGAGCTGTTACTATAAAGAGTTGTGATGAGAGGAAAAGAGATTTGATTATTGGACGAATGAAGAGTATGTGTTATACTGAGAAGAATAATACTAAGTGTATTAATTCTGATGATTATAATGATGGTAAGTGGCTAATGAAGGAATATGTGTTGTCTGATCCTATTCTTAATAAGTTCAGTAATTCTGAGCGTAAAGATTATGTTATTTGTGCCATAAAAAAGTTGCCCAAAAGAAGTACTACTTGTAATTTTAGTCAGACTAGTAATGTGACAACTACTATGGAGTCATGTTCTGAACAAGAGAAGGTGGATACTGAGGTGACTTCTGATATAAATAATTATGTTGATCAGCCATTGATGGATCAGGACTATTTTGTTGAGAAAGCAATAGTAGAATCTGTTGAACCATTAATGGTGGAAACTGTTGGGATAAATTCGGTTAAGCCTTTGATGGATCAGGAATATACTGAGATGATCACTCCTATCTATTATGTTGAAGAACCAATGGAGGAATCTAAGGTGCAAAGTCACGAGGCTACTGGTGTAGAGAATGGTTCGTCGTTGGGGCTAACTACTTTTTCTCAATTTCAAGAATCTATGATCGCTGACTTTGAGAACGCGATGCAAGAATTTAATGTGCCTGAAATAATGGTTAGATCGGATGAAAATATGGGCTGTGACACACTATTGGAGAAGATCCAGACACAAGATCAAGAAGAAGAAGGTTGTTCTTTTACTGTTAATGAGGAGCATAATATTGCATTTATGGAATCTGAAGTCAAGGCTACAAGTTTTCTTGAACTACTAACTGGTGGCAGGGGTTATGGTATGGGGAACAATCAGGTGCAATTGGTACCTGATCAATCGACTACAATAACAACTACTATGCCTCAATTCCTAGAAAGTTGGGATCGGTTTTATGAATCTTCAATGTCCATGTCGTTGGTACCTGAATCGACTACTATGCTAAATTCTAATGAAATTGCTACAGGAGAATGTGACACAACACCTTGTTCTATTATAATTATAGGATATCCCCTTTCGTGAATGACTATTTATCCGAGTGATTTCTTATGTTTGGCTATGATTCCATATTTTTAGTGCATTATTACTTACCTTACATTTTGCTGCTTTAATGCAAAACTATACTATATTTGTGCTTAATTGAGTTTATTTTATGTGTAGGTACGTTGAAGACGAAATTGGGAGTAAAGTAGAGATTTTATGTGTATTTTATACACATACACTTACAATTATCCGAACATTTCCGAGGACTAGGCTGACACTGTTTCCTTTTTCACTCCTAGGGGAAGCTTAGGAATGGTTGCAAAAGGAGCCCGCGAACTCAATCCACAATTGTGATGATCTAGCAAGGAAATTCTTAATTAAGTTTTTTCCCACTAAGAAGACAAAGTCGCTGAGGAGCCAGATTCTTGAGTTTCAACAACGAGATGGCTAGACTCTTTGTCAAGCTTGGGAAAGATACAAGAAGCTACTACTAGACTGCCCACATCATTGTCAGACTGATGAGGTATTGGGTCACACTTTCGTTGATGGGTTGGACGAGGCATCAAAGATGAATCTTGACTCAACATGTGGGGGTAGTTGCATGGCAAGACCGTATAGTGAGATCCAGATCATACTAAACAATTTCACTGCTAATGATAATAATTGGCAAGGAGATGGGGAACCACGAAGAGCACTTAAACAAAAGGCAGCAGGTGTGATCGAGCTTGATGATTTCTCAGCCATGAGGGCAGATATAGCGAGATTAGAAAATCAGATGAATAAGATGACAATGCACCAAGCACAACAGATGCAGCATGTGCAACAAATGTCTACTTGCTGCGAGTTATGTGGTGAAGGTCACACAAGTGACATATGCCCTGTGAATCCTGAATCCATCTACTACGTGGGGCAACAAGCTAGAGGGCAGATGAATCAAAATGCTCAATATGGTAACATATACAATATGAACTGGAGGAATCATCCTAACTTCTCTTGGGGTGGAAATCAGAACATCAGGCCTCAAGCGAATTATAATCATCCACCTCAACCTCCACAGAAATCAGAAGAGAGTTTGACTGACATGATGAAAAAGCTCTTGCTAGACAATCAGAAAGTTATGGCTGAGAATCAACAATTGCGCATAGAGTTCAAAAATCTAGAGCGGCAATTTGGGCAAATGTCTAACAATCAGAATATTAGACCTGTTGGAGCTCTCCCAAGTGATACAGAGAAAAATCCTCAAGTCAATGCATTGACGTTGAGAAATGGGAGAGAGTTAGTAGATGTGCCTAAAAAGAAAAAGAAGCAGTCTGGGCTCGAAGAAGAAAGAGTGCCAAAACCTGTAGAGGTAGATAAGAGAAACAAAACAGAGTCTGAGCAAATATCAGAGAGGGTGCCACCTCCTTTTCCTCAAAGACTGAGAAAGAAGAATGATGACCACATATTTCACAAGTATTTAGATATGCTGAAGTAGATACACTTGAACATCCCTTTGGCGGACATGCTCCGTGAGGTCCCAAAATATGCAAAATATATTAAGGATATAGTGGAAAATAAGACGAGGTTAACTGAATTTGAGACCGACGCACTTACTGAGGAGTGCACTTCCAGGATTCAACATAAGCTTTCACAAAAGCTTAAGGATCTGGGTAGTTTTACAATCCCCATGAGGATTGGTGAAATTAATGTGGGTAGAGCCTTGTGTGATTTGGGTGCAAGTATCAATCTGATGTCGCTGTCAGTGTTTAAACAATTGGGATTAGGAGCTCCGAGACCCACCATGGTGCTGCTACAATTAGCTGACAGATCTTATGTTTATCCTGAGAGGGTAATTGAGGATGTCTTGCTGCATATTGGGAAGTTTATTTTCCCTGCAGATTTTATCATCCTAGACTACGAGGCTGATGAGTTAGTTCCTATCATCTTTGGACGACCTCTTTTGGCCACTGGAGTTGCCATTATCAAAGTCCGAGAAGCTAAGATGATCCTGAGGGTGGACAATGAAGACGCGGTCTTTAATGTATATCGAGCCATTAAGTTGCCTCGTCATTACGAGGACCTGGCCATAATTTCTGTGGTGAAGATAAATGAACCAGCCGTAGAGCCAAGTGCATTTAAAGAAGATGCACTAGAAAAGGCATTGATGTTATTCAATCACTTGGAACTGGAAGAAGAGGTTGAGGAGATGTTGCAAATTTTGGATGCATCTTGTGAATACATAAGAGAAAGATCCCAGTTTGAGGCCTCTGGATAGGCCAATCGGCCTGCCCCCTAGACCCTCAGTTGAGGAGGCTCCAAAATTGGACTTAAACCCTTACCATTTCATCTTCATTATGCATATTTGGGTAGTTCTAACACTTTACCAATGATTGTTTCTTCTCATTTGTCTAAATTGCAGGAAGAAAAGCTCTTAAGGGTGCTGAGGGAGCACAAGCATGCCATTGGTTGGACAATGTCTGACATAAAGGGTATTAGCCCTGCATTCTGCATGCACAAAATACTCATGGAGGAGGGACACAAGCCTAGCATGGAACATCAACGTCGCCTAAATCCAATCATGAAAGAGGTGGTAAGAAAATAAGTGATTAAGTGGCTCGACACAGGTATAGTATTTCCCATCTCCGATAGTAAGTGGGTAAGCCCTGTTCAATGTGTACCTAAAAAAAGGGGGGGGGGGGTATGACTGTTGTAGTGAATGAACAAAATGAATTAATCCCAACTAGGACTATGACTGGTCGGCGAATATGCATAGATTATAGGAAGTTGAATAATGCTACACGAAAAAATCACTTCCCCCTCTCCTTCATTGATCAAATGCTTGACAGGTTAGCCGGACAGGAATACTATTGTTTCCTTGATGGCTATTCGGGGTATAATCAGATTTCTATTGCCCCGAAAGATAAAGAAAAGACCACTTTTACATGCCCTTATGGTACTTATGCATTTAAGAGAATGCCATTCGGGTTGTGTAATGCAATTGCGACTTTTGAAAGGTGTGTGATGGCTATTCTCACCGATATGGTGGAACGGTTTGTGGATGTTTTTATGGATGATTTTTCTATGTTTGGTCCTTCTTTTGATGAATGCTTGACCAATATTGCTAAAGTGCATGCCAGGTGTGAGGAGACTAATCTGGTACTGAATTGGGAAAAGTGCCATTTTATGGTACGTGAAGGTATAGTGCTGGGGCACAAGGTGTCCAAAGATGGAATGGAAGTTGACAAAGCTAAGGTGGAAGCAATTGAAAAGTTGCCACCACCGATTTCAGTGAAAGGAGTTAGGAGTTTTCTGGGACATGCAGGTTTTTATCGCCGATTTATAAAGGATTTCTCAAAAATTTTGTCTCCTTTGTGCAGGTTGTTATAGAAGGATGTGCCGTTCAAGTTTGACGATGCTTGTCTAAAAGCATTTTAGGAGCTGGAAAAAAGTTAGTGAGTGCACCAATCATAGTGGCTCCTGACTGGAAAGAGCCATTTGAGCTGATGTTTGACGCTAGTGATGGTGCAATTGGGGCCGTGTTGGGCCAGAGGAGGAGCAAAATATTTTACTCCATTTACTACGCAAGCAAGACTGTTACTCCTACTCAAATAAATTATACTGTGACAGAAAAGGAGTTGCTTGCTGTAGTGTGGGCGTTCGATAAATTTCAGGCCTATTTCGTTGGCACCAAAGTCATCGTCTACACAGACCATACAACTATGAGGTATTTGTTCGAAAAGAAAGATGCTAAACCAAGGCTAATCCATTGGGTTTTACTCTTGCAGGAATTTGATTTGGAGATCCTAGACCGTAAAGGAACAGAGAATCAAGTGACTGATCACTTATCCAGGTTAGAAACTCGGAATCATGTAGCTGAGGGAGATATCATCAAGGAAACATTCCCAGATGAGAAATTGTTGGCCATTACTGCTGGGGAGGTGCCATGGTATGCAGATTTTGTGAACTATCTTGAAACTTATGCTAAAAAGAAGTTCTTGCGAGATGTGAGGTCATATATGTGGGATGAGGTATTTCTGTTCAAATCTTGTACCGATCAGTTAATGAGAAGATGTGTGCCCGAATCTGAATTAAATGTTATCTTACATGACTGTCATGTGTCGCCTTATGGTGGTCATTATGCAGGTGACAAAACGGCAGCTAAGGTGTTGCAATCAGGTTTTTATTGGCCTAGGGTGTTTAAAGACGCCCATGAGTTCGTGAGGAGGTGTGATAGGTGCTAGAGAACAGTAACAATCACGAAAAGGCATGATATGCCATTGCACGGTTGTGGAGGTTGAAATTTTGATGTGTGGGGAATTGATTTTATGGGTCCGTTTCCCTTGTCCAGTGGGTGTAAGCACATTTTGGCGGTCGTTGACTATGTGTCAAAGTGGGTGGAGGCCATTGCTCTTCCTACCAATGAAGCCAAGGTTGTGTTCAACTTTGTGAAAAAGCATATCTTTACAAGGTTCGGCACTCCGAGAGTGATGATTAGTGATGGGGGCACCCATTTCTGTAACAAGCTCTTGGACAATGTCTTAGCACAATATGGGGTCAAACATAACGTTGCAACTGCTTACTATCCTCAGATTAGTGGGAAAGTTGAAGTCTCAAATTGTCACGACCCAAAATCTCACCCGTCGTGATGGCGCCTATCTCGATACTAGACAAGCCGACAACCTCAATAAAACCGCATTTCCTTAAAGTTTGAAAAACATAATAATTTGAGTTTAATAAAAGGCCTCACAATTTCAGATACAAGCACTCCCAAAACCTGGTGTTACTGAGTACATGAGCATCTAATATGAGTGCAATTCTGGAAAATACGGTCTATAATAGTCTGAGACCAAATACATTAAACAATGAGGTAGGGAAGGAGATACAAGGTTTGCGAAACACGACAGCTACCTCTAAATCTCCGAAAAAATCAACTACGCGAAAGAATCAACACCTGCTATGTCCGGGAACACTTGGATCTGCACACGAAGTGCAGGGTGTAGTATGATTACAACCAACTCAGTAAGTAACAATAATAAATAAAGAACTGAAGATAGTGACGAGCTACACAGTTATAGTTCACTTTCAGTAATTTCAGCAATAATAGATATGCTTTCAAATCCAGTAGTTTAAGTCAAATCAATTTTATACAGTTCAAGTTCATGTAATTCGGATATAAAATATTTCATAGAATTTCACAACAATGACAGATAGCAACTAAGTGCAACAACAAATGAAAAACAAGTACAGCCTCTCAGGGCAACAGTCACTCAACTCGTCACAACAGCTCAACCACTCGGCTCTCAGCCCTCAGCACTCACACTCAATGGGTACCCGCGCTCACTAAGGATCCACACGGACAACTCATGTGCTGCACGGACAACTCACGTGCTATAGTATAATATAAGGTTCCGCACGGGCAACTCACTTGCTATATTATAATATCTCACAATCAGGCCCTCGGCCTCACTCAATCATAAGTCTCTCCATTCTCTCAGGCTCTCGATAGTCATGATACTCAGCCCAAATAATAATAATATGATGCATCAATAATGAACAATAGAGACTGAGATAAAATAAAAAAGTAAATTGTGACTGAGTACAAAACAACAATTTAGCAGATAATTCGACATGTACAAGACCTCTGTGGTCTTTACAGCACCAACACATAGCCTAAGCATGCTTCAATGTCAAATGTTTATAGCACAGAAAGGGCACATAGCTAACGACAAGCTTATTCAACTTTCCAGTTTCAGGGAATGGACCAAGTCCCAATTCCCACGGTGCACGCCCACACGCCCGTCAACTAGCATGTGCGTCACATCCAAAATACTCACATAATACAATAATCTGGGATTTCATACCATCAGGACCAGATTTAAAACTGTTACTTACCTCAAAATGTGAAATTCTTTACTCTGTTATGCCTTTGCCTCGCAATTCGGGCTCTGAATGCCTCGAATCTAGTCACAATTAATTTGTTTCAGTCAATAAATTTTATTGGAATTAATTCCATATGAAAATATAATTTTTCCATAAAAATCAGAAATTTAACTCAAAAATCGCCCGTGGGGCCCACGTCTTGGAACCCGATAAAAGTTACAAAATATGAATGCACATTCAACCACGAGTCCAACCATACAAATTTTACTCAAATCCGACATCAACTCGACCCTCAAATTTTCAAATTAAACCAAGAGGGTTTTCACAATTTTCCAACTTAATTCACCAATTAAATGTTAAAAACAACCATAGATTCGGGTAATTTAACCAATATTGAGTTAAGAATACTTACCCCATTGTTTTCCTTGAAAAACTCCGAAAATCGCCTCTTCCCGAGCTCCAACCCGTTAAAAATGGAAAATGGGATGAATTCCCATTTTCAGAACTTAAACTCACTGCCCAGGCTTTTACTCTTTGCGATCGCGAAGCACAAAATTTTCCAGCCCCAAAATTTCCCTTCATGATCGCGGAACACCAATCGCGATTGCGAAGAACAAACTCCCCAACTTTTCCAAACAACTTCTAGTATAATTGTCATAACTTTTTGTACAAAACTCTAAATGAAAAGTTGTTTAGCTTTCTAAAAACTAGACATCAAGGTCTACAACTTTCATTTTTGAATCATTCTAAATTCCTTATAGATTGCGAGATATAAGCTTCCAAAATTGGGTTAGTGCAGTAGAGATTTTGTTCTACGCGATTGCAAAAGAGCTTCCGCGATCGCGATTCACAAGGCCCCAAACTGCTGTTTGCTCTTCGCGAACGGGACCAAATGTTCGTGATCGCGATGCACACCTCTGTAGGTAGAAACCACCAATTAAAAATGGCCTAGAAATGGTCTGAAACTACCCCGAAACTCACCCGAGCCCCTCGGGACCTCAACCAAATATACCAACAAGTCCTAAAATATCATACGAACTTAGTCGAACCCTCAAATGATATCAAAAAACACTAAAACCATGAATCATGCCCCAATTCTAGCTTAATGAAACTAAGAAATTCCAACTTCTACATTCGATGCCAAAACCTATCGAATCAAGTTCGATTGACCTCAAATTTTGCACACAAGTCATAATTGACATAACGAAGCTATTCCAATTTCCAGAATCGGATTCTGACCCCGACCGGGTTGTTACACAAATAGAGAGACAAAAGCAGATCCTGGAGAAGACGGTTAGTGCAAGTAGGAAAGATTGGGCTGCACAACTTGATAATGCTCTATGGGCATACCGGACTGCCTAAAAAACTCCAATTGGAACCTCCCCTTACAAGCTA